AATAAATAAATAAATTCATTTCCAAAAGAGAGTGTGTTATTATTGTATGTTATTGGTCTTAGGTCTCCTATATAACCAAAGAAGCAGTTTTTGAAGTTACGGTCTGAGGTATGAAATGAAACAAATCTGTGCTGAATCTAATCCAAGGAAAGAAAGGTTGAGATTAGCCACTTTTGTAAATTGGAAGCTTGCCAACGCTAGAGCCTTACGCTAATTACGTTCAGGTAACGTTCAAAATCTTTAGATACTATTCTTATTTTGGAAGTATAGTGGGCCTAAAATCAAAACATCTAATTTTATTTTTTATTTTTTTATGAGTATCTATCACCATTTTTATATCCAAGATCTGTTGATAGATCGTAATCAAGTATTAATATTAATCGCAAATTGTCACAAACGTTGTGAATTTTTACAAAATCTACTAAATATTAGTGCTGCTAAAAATATAGAATTTACCAAAAAAAAGAGTTGATAAAATATCTCAAGAAATCACATATTATCAAGAACAACTAGGTTTAGTACCCTAAAAAAAAAAAAAAAAATTAATTTTCCACGTTATCAAGCCACATCACTTAACTTAAATTTGAGTCACAAAAATTTGAGATACCAAACATATAGAATTTACCAAAAAAAGAGTTGATAAAATATCTCAAGAAATCACATATTATCAAGAACAACTAGGTTTAGTACCCTAAAAAAAAAAAAAAATTAATTTTCCACGTTATCAAGCCACATCACTTAACTTAAATTTGAGTCACAAAAATTTGAGATACCAAACAACAGCTTATAGTTAATTATTTTGGAAACACTTTGTAGAATGAATTAATTATTTTAATTTATAAATTTAAGATCTACGCACCTCATGAAAAAAATATTGTGACTTTTGAGAAAATTTGTACATTCCCTCTTATTATCCATAAGAGTTATGTTAGCAGTTCTAAATAATTTACAAAGTTTCTACTAAATCTTTTGTATGGGTGTGGGACTCCTATACATGTGGATTTATATAGATCTCATACTCATATAAAAGGTTGGGTAAATTACAAATCCTATGAGGTTTGCTTAAAATACAGATTTTTCGGTAGTTTGAAAAATTACAAATACCCCCTTATTAGAATTTTCTATTTAACAGAATTAACTAAAAAATGAAATTCATAATTGCTCTCATTTACAATAATAAAATTATCTAAATTATTAATTGAAACATATTTTTAACATTATTAAAAACAATTAATTGACTTGATGATTTATTAATAAAAGGGACGATTTGTTTTGAAATTAGAAAGCTTAGGAGGTGGAATGTAATTTTCAATACTACAGAGGGCAATTCATATTTTAATCAAATCTCAAGGGATGTATTTGTAATTTATCCTAAAAAATTTAGTAAAAAATTTAATAGATTATTTAAAATCCATAACATTTTCCTATCCATAATGACTGTAATGTTGAATCTGAACTGCTATCATTATGGCTTTAATGTTTTGGCTTTTGAATATTTTGTACTAAATTGAGTATTGGTATGTGTATATTTATGCTATTTTTAGATTTAAAATTTGTAAAAAAAAAAGGGGGTAAAAGATTGAAAAATAAAATTTTGTTAAATGATTTTATCATTATTTTACCTTTTTTAAAAAATTAATAAATTCAAAATTTGGACATAATATTAAAAAAATTATTATTTTAGATTAAAATCACCAATTGTGCATCAAGTGGGAGGTGGGACAAGTAATAGAACAATCAAATTATGATTTTAAAAACTACTCGCAAGAAAAAAATAATAGTAGATTAGAACTAAGATTTTGACCTATCATATAATGAGTTGTTGCTTGTGTAATCTGAAGTGTCCTCTTTATCTTTTAATATTTTTTAGGCTTTTATGTGACAATCAAGCAAGCATATTTTAATTGGTAGTTTTGTCCTTGCTTAAGCCTGTACAATGATTTTTTTTTTTTTAGATGGCATCCTGTTAGAATTCACACTCACCTACTACACTCCACCTACCACCTCCACTACACTACACCTACTACCACCTTCTCTTCTATATATAGGAGTTGTAATACATAACACAAATTATCAATTAATCAATAATACATTTCTCTATTTCTTTTTATAGATTGCATTTTTTTACATGGTATCAGAGCAGGTTTAGAACCTGATATTTTCGCTTCCCCGGCGGGCGGCAACCTCACCTTAGCTGCCCGCCGGACCTCAACCTAGTCCGCTAAGATTTTTCTTACACATACCTTGATCACTCTGTATGTGCTTCCTCCTCAGCTGCTGTCCAAGCACAAAATCTCTTCAATTCCTCTTCTTCGTATCAAAAGCTGCGAGGCGAAACCAAAAGGGTGTGTCGAAAACCAGAGACAATGGCCAGAAGAACTCGATCGTTCTCACTCGCACTGGTGTGGACGCTAGTCCTCTTCGCAACCCTAGCTCTCACTCAGGCGAAGAAATCGAAGGAGGATTTAAAGGAAGTGACTCACAAAGTTTACTTTGATGTTGAGATTGCCGGAAAACCTGCTGGTCGTATTGTCATGGGTCTCTTTGGGAAGGCAGTTCCTAAAACAGCAGAGAATTTCCGAGCACTGTGCACAGGGGAGAAAGGTGTTGGAAAGTGAGTTGTTGCTTGTGTAATCTGAAGTGTCCTCTTTATCTTTTAATAATTTTTAGGCTTTTATGTGACAATCAAGCAAGCATATTTTAATTGGTAGTTTTGTCCTTGCTTAAGCCTGTACAATGATTTTTTTTTTTTTAGATGGCATCCTATAAAAGGATTAAAGATAGGAATTTACGAATAAATCAATTATATCATACACACTTTTTAAAAGTACTTAATCAATAATACATTTCTCTATTTCTTTTTATAGATTGCATTTTCTTACACATCCTATAAAAGGATTAAAGATAGGAATTTACGAATAAATCAATTATATCATACACACTTTTTAAAAGTACTTATCATATTTACCTTGATGATATTGTAATTAAGGGTAATTATAAACACACTTCTTGAGATTTGCTTAAAATATAAATTGTCCCTTGTAATTTTAAAAATTACATCATGCCTTTCGAAGTTTATAATTTTATAACAAATGGTCATTTCTATTAATAAATTATCAAGTTAATTAATAATTTTTAATAATGTCATAAATTTATTTCAATTACTAATTAAGCTAATTTTATTATTATATTAGAGAGCAATTAGAAATTTTATTTTCCTAACTAATTTTGTTAATAAAAAAATTTACGAGGGAGAATTTATAATTTTTTAATCCAAACCCAACCCAATTGCCGAACCGCAATTGAATGGCCTTGGTTTGGGCTTTTTCCATCTTGCCTCTCTATTTTGGGTATGGATTATTTTAGTTGCCTATTTAATTTTTTTACAAAAAAATATGTAAAAAAATAAAGAAAGTGATATGATAGAATATTTTGTTTTATTGACTATTTTAACCTAGGATGGCTAGCTGTGACACCTCAATTGTTTAATACGTAAAAAAAAATATAACTTCTGAATTTGTTTACATAATTTCTGGATTTCAGTTTTTGTTACTTAAATAATTTATTTACTCGAATTAAGTTTGTATAATGTTTCAGTTTAAATAACTATCCATGGTTATTTTGAGCCCTACGCTTTTAGCATAATATATCTCACTCTGCTGTGTACTTATAGCTGTTATCTTTTTTAGGTGATGGAATATAAAGAAGGACGGTAACCTCGTGTAATAGGACCAGCACGAAATTTGATGTGGATATGTTTTCTTTTTTTTTTTATAATTGTCTGTCACCAAATAATAAAATAAGAAAAGCTTGATAGATGTGTTTCCTTTTATTAAAATAGTATAATAAGAAATAAAGTTAATTATCTATTTAATTATTTTCTTGTGCCACTTAATTTGTGAAAATCAAAATTAATTAGCAAGTTGCGATTCTAGCCCTAAGTAACTAGGGTTGGGTCGTGACACCAACACTCTATCACTCTCAAGTTGATTAGAAGACTCTTATATTGTGTTTGGTTTATGAAATTATGAAGAAAATTAGAAAGAAAAAAAGAAAAAAAAATGTAAATGAAATATAATTTTTTCCTTTCATTTTTTTTTTTTTTTTTCTCTTTTTACTCTTCAAATCTATAAACACAACTTTAAGATTACACAAACATGCAGAGATATAGGGCGGTTCCTTACTTGCAATCACCTCCAAGACGTACTCCATAGACATAATTTTTAAGAATCGTGCACGAAGGTGATGGTCCACTTAACAAAATTATTGTCATGGTAGAGATCTTCTAATGAAAGGTACAGCGTTATATAATTTACCAGTGATACATCTAATGGTTTATTTTTTAAGGATTGCACAGGGATGAAACTCTGGGATGGGATAGCCACCTCAATGTCCGGCCCATAATTCATTAAATCTCAATCATATATGGTATCATTACATAAAATAATTTGTGGCGTGAGATGGATGTGATGTTTTAGTACACAAGTAACATAACCAAAAGGCTATACCCTTTTCCACAAAGGTACCAAAGAGGTTGAAATTGAGTATGACTATATAAACTGACAATCAGCCAAATCTGAGATGGCCCATGCCATAACTCACTTTAAAGAGCTCTCATTGAAGATGCAAAATTTCTCCTGAAACGATGCAATTGCTCACCGCGACACACACTCAGAGGGCAACAAATGTGCAGATAAGCCTGCCAACATAGGAGTTTCACAAGAAGAATATGGTGTGGTGCTTGAAGACCCCCTGAGGAAGTGAAGGCCCTGCTTATAGATGACATAACTGGTGTTAGACTAGTGAGATGAGATGAGGGACTAGTCTCTTTTGTTCGTGTACGGTATCTACTTTTAAGTCCTTTCTCTTGTTTTCTGAATTTCCAATGAAAAAAAAAAAAAAAAAAAAAAAAAAACCAAAAAAGTTTACTAACTCAAAAAAAGAAAAAGAAAAAGAAAAAAAGGGGGTAAACCCTTTTCATTCAGTACCTCAAATTCGGGTCGAAAAAAGGGCCCACGAGGTTAGATGTGTTGGTAGCGTATGAATCCGACGGAGAGAGAGAGAGAGAGAGAGAGAAAAGGGGGCTGCGAATTTAAGGAGGAAGGAAGGAAGATAAATGGATCCGAACGCAGTAGCGAAAGCATTTGTCGAGCACTACTATTCGACGTTCGATACGAATCGAGGAGGACTCGCAAACTTGTACCAGGATGGCTCAATGTTGACCTTCGAGGGTCAGCAATTCCAGGGTGCTCAGAACATCGCCGCCAAGCTCGCCAGCCTCCCCTTCCACCAGTGCCAGCACGGCATCACCACCGTCGATTGCCAGCCTTCCGGCCCCGCCGGCGGCATGCTCGTCTTCGTCAGCGGCAATCTCCAGCTGGCCGGCGAACAACATGCCCTCAAATTCAGTCAGGTACATCTTTTCTCTTTCATCTCCATGTTTGTCTACGGATTTTAGGGTTTACTTGGTCTATATTCTGATTTATGTGTTTTTTGGTTGATCTGGTGCGTTCTTTTGATTACACTTCATTGGAATTAGATTATTGGTATTATGTGAAAAAGTATTTGATTAGGTTATGAATAGATTTGTCTTTGTGGAATAACGTGAGCCATGGCACTGCATAGAATGAATACTTGTTTTCCCATTATAATTTATAGGTGGTGGTGGAGTAATGTGTATTATCATGTAAGGTGCAAAAGTGGGCATCCCATACTTTTCCTCAATTACATACACCTATATATAGCTTACCAACTGCCACAGATTCGTACTTCTCGACACACCCCAAATGATTCTAGGGGATGGATTCATCGTCTCAGTCATCCAATTATTAAACAAATAAAAAATGGCATAACCAAATGATTGTTTAGCCAATGGTGGATTTCGTGCCATGGAATGAATTGAGGAACTAAGGATATTTCCCGAGGGCTTCCTCTCTACTCTGTTCACCTCCTTAAGCAATTTGCTATATACATATATATAGAAGAGTTCAGTCTAATTGTGGTTTCCAGATATCCAACAAGAAAATTGGGGCAACACTCGATACCTGCTTACCTTTTGTTTTCCCCCTTCTTTCTGTATCTACCTTTTTTATGCTGCTTGCTTTACTTGCCCTGTTCAACTCTCCAACCACTGCATCAACAAGCTAGACATTTCCCAAACAACTACATACATAGAAAACACTGGAGCCCTCAACTCCAAAATGGTACTATAGTTTCATTGGGATATTCAGATATTACAGTGACTCACTGTTTCATTGAGTTTGGAATGTTGCAATTAGTGCAGGTTAATGTGTAAGTAAGGCATTGCTTATTCACCAGCTCAAGGATGATTTTGATTGTGCTGTTGCACAATAAGCAGCAGGTTTTTGTTGTGCTGGAGATAATGTCTGGAAAAGCTTTTACATTTGCATAGATCATACACTTGTGGTGCTGACTTGCCTAGAATTGTTACACTAAATTTTGAGGCTTTTATAGTATTAGTGGGAATGGTACAATGAGGTGGATGTGTAATATGTATGTATGTGTTTGTGATCCATTTAATGATTCTACGAATGGCAATTTAATGAGAATATACTTTGTATTCTTTGAAGTATTCAAGCGAAGGGCCTTTAACCAAAATTGAGCTTTGTGCTTGATTTTGCATGGACTTTGGAAGTTGTATACAAAACTTTAGAATGAGGTTGTTACTAAGCTAGTGGCCTGAATCTTGATTATTTTTTAGTGTCCAATATACTATATGAGGCTTTTGTTAGATTATTTTTGTCTACAATTAGCTTTCTTTTTACAAAAAATTTACTCCTTACCTTAGAATATTAAGTTTTCTTGATGTTATGTCTGATTTGTTCCTACTACGTAATGCTCTGTTTTTTGTCTTTCCAGACTTTACTACCCATGTTTCACTCTGTTAGTTCAATTTTCCATAGTATTTGATATCATGCGTTGATTGGTGGGTGTACCGTGTATGGTAGCTGTTAAGGACCCTATCACTAGGTTACAATTAAGGGAGAAAGAAAAAGCAAGAAATATCTGAAATTGGAATCTTTTTTTCATAATTTCTTGAATCATATTGCGTAGGAAGAGGCAAAATATAATCAGCTTGATTTCGGGATTATATTAATGGTGATAATTTACTTGAGTCAATTGGTGAAGTAGAGCAAACTTGTTCTTTTTAAAGAAATTGTTGTTGTTGGCTTATTGTGGTGCTTTTTTTGTGTACTGTTTGGCTGATATTACAGGCTATCCTTATGCCCTTAATCTCTTAAAATGTTTGTACTCAGATATGTTGTTGAACGCTTATTTTAACCACTTTGCCTTTCACTGATTCTGGACACTAATTTTTATGTATCACATATTCGTAAGTTATAACTACCCTTTGAATTAAAATTCAACAACCAAAAACAGAACCTTTGTTGGAATGTCGTGTTTGAATTCTATCCTTGCATGGTTGAACCAACATCATTTTGCGAAGATATATGTAGTAGTCTGGACATGGATATTGATATAAAATAATGGAAGGACAAGGATGTTGATGTCATGGTTGAATGATGTGTAGGGCTGATATTTTAATAGTACCAATCAATGATGAAACAAGTATCAGTTTATATGTTCGCTCCTTTGAATACTAACAGAATTATGCTTTGAATGATGGTTATATTCTGAAATGCTAAATGAAAATATTTAGCACAGTTTATAACAACGATTGACAATTTAGGGTTGTTTGTGGGTTCTCTCACCTTCTGATTGTTGAATGTACTGTGACTTTTAGAGCTTTTAAACCTGGTTTGTGTTACCTCTTAGGCTTGCTTAGGTTCTTTGCTTAGAAGTAAGCCTCTTGGACTCCTGTGTTTGATGTGGCAGGAGATGCCACTCAAGCTAACAAGTGGTGGTTAGCTCGTTTATTCATAGAGAGTGTTATTTCTATCTTGTTTAGTGTTATAGTTGTATGATTCCCTTAAATAGCCCCTCCTCATGAATCCCTATTGAATGTTACATTTTGTTTTTGTTAAATATACTGTGCTGTACACTTTAGCGATGACATAAAGTCATGATGTTGGATTATTGTTTGAGTAATTTGATCAGGTTTTATGATTGCATAAGATTCTTTATGGTAATGTTGATATTATACACTGACATCTGTCAAGAACTTGAATTTTTGTTCATTACTGTGTAGTGGATATTTATGTTTTGATGACACTTTTGACATACATGTGCACAATATGAGCATATTTTTGGGTCACTTTACCCATTATTTATCATCATTCTCTCACAGAGCCAATTAAGACATGCTTGTGCATGCACAAGCACAAATATACAGTAACTGGTGATGAGTTGCTCTAGTAAAATGGAAGTTAAGAAATACTCAACATTCCAAACATTGGATACCCAAAAGTTATCCAAACATTGGATGGTGATACTGCCACATGGTCTCCGTTACATCCAATATTGTTGTCGGGGCAAGTTTAATATGAAGTTTCCAACTTTTGCTCTTGGCAGCTGGATCTGCTCTGGTAATATCAATGGATGAAATGTTTTCATGCTGGAAAATCATGCATCTAGGTAGAATCGAACTTGGTACCACCTCAACGTTGAAGCACCTGCAATTAAAATTTTGCTTTGTACCTAGGAAAGTGGCTTGACTATACATATGAACCTCATTATTTATCTTTGCATGACATACAATGATGATATCCTTTAGCTAGCATCTTAATATGTTTAATTGTTTGGCCATTGGATCTTTCATCAGCTTTGGGTTCATCTAATATGTGTGGCATTGAGTTGCTTTATATTGTACTAAGGACATTGCATTGCATAGATTGCTATTATTGGATCCGAGTGTTTCATTGACAAAAATCTCATCTTTTTGTTGGCTGGATCTCTTGCTTAAATTTCCTTTATATTGTTATTGAGGACACACAAGTATGCATCCTGTTTAACAAAACTTAAAGGGTAAGGTAATGCACGCATTGCCAAGTAATGACCCCTACTACTTAAAACCTGTCACTAAACTGAAATTAGGAACTTGCTTCAGCGACCATATAGTTTCATTTTCCTTATGTTGACTTGATCAAATGAGAGTTAGTACACACAGTCCTTCCATTTGATACCTTCTTGTTTAATCATAATTGGCTTGACCATCTGTCCCAGATTTCTTCATTAGCCTACGAATTTGTGAAATACTTCATAATAATTACTTGTTTCTGATGGCTGAACTTGGTCATGCAAGAATAAATCCAAGTTCTTGAAGGGATATTTTATGCACAATTCACAGTCCTGCAATATTCTGCTCCCGTTCTTTCTTATTAAGGAGATCAAGGTGGTGGAACTGTGAAAGGTTTTGACTTCTTTTACTGCAATATGATATCTTATTTTTAGATTATATCGGATGAGTATAGTAATATGGTCTTTGTTTAAATCTCTTGAAGAATGGAGAGGAAGTAGGCATGCTTTAATATGGCTTCCTTAAGAATTTTGAGCATTTTTTCCTTCTGCCAGGCATTAATGACTTCCTCTATATTAAAAAAATGAAACACTCAAATCTGTTTATTTTTATAATTCATAATTCGGAGTGAACTACACATTTTACACTAGGGAGAGCACTACATAAGGTGGTGGATAGGATTTGAAAGATCTGATGGGATCAAGGGTGCACAAAGGAAATGACCATGGTCTTTGTTGTCGTCCACGATATAGTGGATTCATTGTTGCTCCATTGTTGTAAATAAACCTGTTAGAGCTGTAATTCTTTCAATATCCTCATTATCCTGTTGCTTCTCTTGCCATATTTTGGCTAACAGATGTTTCATTTGATGCCAACGCCACAAGGGAGTTTCTATGTGCAGAATGACATATTCCGCTTGAATTACGCATGAAGGTGATTGGCTATTCTGGAACACAATAGAGGAGTGTTATTTTGTTTGAATGTCCAGGGCTTAAAAACAAGATTCGGAAACTTTTAAATAGCTGTTAGGAATTTGAGGATGTTGAATACCATCTCTTTTGCTTTTCTGTTTGCTGTTTAATTTTCACATTTTCAGTTGTTGAATTATGGGACTTGGTGGTTGTGATTAGAATGATGAAAATGACTGGTCTGTTTTAAATATTCCCTAATGAGTTTGGTTGTTCTTTGGTAAAATGAAAAAGTTAAGATTATATGCTAAGCTAGATGGTTTCTCTCTCTCTCTCTCTCTCTCTGCGTGTGTTTTTCATAGCACTTGCTGTTGCACCATGGACTGGCAATACATTATGCATCTATGTTTGCCGAACTAATGCCTCTTTACAGATTGTTGCCATGCTTTGGAATGTCATACTGATGACAGCCATTGATCTATCAGTAAGGTGAGGAAAATGTCAAAATATATTAGAACAAAAATGCTAGAGGCCCCAAAAATTTTATTAAAAGTTTTACTAAATGTCTCACATGGGTGTGGGACCCGCACCCATGTGAGACATTTGGTAAAACTTTTAGTAAAATATTTAAGGTCTCTAGCATTACTCATATTAGAAACCTCAATGATTTTTTCCCACTTTTAAACTAAGATTTTTTCACATTACTAAATATATGTAAAAATGCTAGTATGGTATGTATCAAGTGTTTAAAAATAGAAAATGCTACAATGGTCACTAATGTATATCTCTGCAATGCTGACAATTAGAGAACCCATTATACCAATATTATTGACAAGTAAAACGGTAAACATAAAATATATATATATATATATATATAGAAATGCTAGTAATAAGAAACAAATTAACATTATTAATTGAGGTTATTAACAATGCTTCAGCTTTGGGTCATTCTTACTCACAAGTTTAGTACTTACCCAAAAAATACCAAGTACATGTTACTCACAAGTTTTACAGCACATCTATGTGAATTCTATGAAGTGATTATTATTAATATTTTTGTGGGTGGGGAATAGAGCGATGGCGTGATCCAGATGTCTAGATTAAAGCTAAAACCAGAATATTGATCTTGAATATGTTCCAGAAAAAGAATATTGATCTCGTTAAGCAACCATAAAGTGCTCATTTTTAAGGTTGTGGAATGTCCTCTAATCTATTTTTATTTACTAGGCACAACACAATGAGATAGAGATTTTGTTAGGACATGTTTGATTTATAGATTGAATTGAGAGAATGGTAAGTTATCTTAATCATTTTGCATGGAAAGAGGATTTTAAGGGAGTGCTCCCGGTATATGTTGTTATAAAATGTTTCCAAATATTAAGCAATTTAAGCTCACACAATAAAAAATTTGCAAGTAGACGTGCATATGAAGTAAAAAAAACTAAAGCAAAAGGTGTGCAATGAGAGTGTGAATCCAATCTGGGCAGTAGCTAACTGTCACCTTTTCCTCGTCATCCTCTCTTGTCTCTTCCTCCTAAACCCCATCTTCACCTGTATATATATATATATAAAAATTGTGTCACCTTTGTCATTCGCAATGCCCCCACACGTCTTTATTTCTATTTCCATTTTCACTACTCTCAAACCTCACATAGAGCGAGAAATTAATTACTAGAGAGAGAAGGAAGAAGAAGATGTCGGACTGGGGACCGGTGTTCGTAGCAGTAGTTCTGTTCATACTGTTGACGCCGGGACTGTTGATTCAGGTACCGGGTCGGGGCCGATTTGTAGAGTTCGGAAACTTCCAGACTAGTGGTGTCTCCATACTAGTTCATTCCCTCATCTACTTTGGTCTGATCTGCATCCTCCTCTTAGCTGTTGGTGTCCACGTTTACATCGGCTGATAATACTAATATATTATCAGCAATCTCCAATTTGTCATATCCCCATTTCAATCCCGTTCATTCATATTAATTTTTTGGAGGTTTCTAATTTCGATTTGTCGTTTGTTTGTTTATTTATTTATAATTTGATCTGATTTGCTCTTGATGTCTCTACTTTTATGCATTCAAATTTCAGGAAAGTGAATTGTTATATAGTCTTTTTGATTTTCTGTAAACATTAGAATTGTCCCCTATTATGATTGAAGATTTGTTTGGCTTTTCCAAAAGTTTATTATTGTAAGGACAAATTTTTTTTTTTTCAATTTCTGAACTTTAATTTAGAGGGTACACAGTAACTTACATGTATTCAGACTGTAATATTGGAAAGCTTGGAATCCAATTGATGATAAAATTGTAATGTTTGTGATCTGTCATGGATTTCCATGGATATATATCATATGGATCTAAAGCTTCAGAGACTATTATTTGTTGGAAGCTATGGCTCGTGAATAGTCGCGTCAACTGTGTTTCTTTGCTTCATTGAAAGAGCTCTCTCTGTTCAGATCTTGCCTTATCATTTGACTCTTTATATACCGAAAAAACATCACAACATTTGCTGGGTTCTCTGAACCTTAAATTAAATCCCCCAACTTGGCATTAAAAAAAAAGAATAAGGTATTAAAAAAAAACCAAAAAACAATTATCAATTTTATTTTTGTGCGATGACTGAGTTTAGAAACAATTTGTCAAAACAAATTTGCACAGGCAGTTTTTGTTCTGTTTTTTTTAATAGAAATTAAAAAGTAAAATGATTCCAACTTGACCCGAATTGTCCATGGAAGCACTTTAGAAAGAAACAAGCATAGTTAAGAAGTTAAATTAGGTTGAGCTCAAAAGCAACAACCATACAACAGAGTTGATTTTGAAGCGAAATCATCACAACTAAAAAGAAAAGAAAAGAAAAAGAACACAACAAACATAAGCAGACTAAATTAAGTAAAATAAGGTGAACAAAAAGTTATGCTTTCTGCAACTAGCCTTTGAACAAGCTTCTTAGGCATAGAGATGAATATTAAGAATAACAAGGAACAAAATAAGAAGCAAACCGTAGAGGACAGTGTGGAGTATCATAGAGACTACACTAGTCTTCATGTTCAAGAAATCCACCGGTCGATCCTTTCCAGGCATTTGAAAGACCAGTCCCGGCGATAGAAATGCAAAGAGCGCCGTGGCTATGATCGGAGCAGCCCAGTCGTTCATTCTTTAGCCTCCTTAACAACCTGACACCTCTTTCAAGTTTCACAATTAATTGTCCTTCTCAACACAACAATATGAACAAGAAGAACAAAGCTATGTTGAAAAAGCACCTCGGATGCCATATATAATTGACTGTACAAATATCCATCCTTTCTTCTCTGTATTAGGTATGACGGTGATATCACATTGTATTATAACTAATTAATAAAATATGGCATTGTAGTAATACAAACTAATATGCTCAAATTAGTGGGAACTAAATATGTCTACCTAATTTTTTTAAAACTGTTTATTGATCAAGGACACCACATCAGATAATATTTTACTATTATCTTTAATATTTATTTCGATCGTCGGTAGAGGAAAGGGAAGGGAAGGGGAATGGGAATCTATAAAGCTAGAGTATGTAAAGGAATAATCATCTACTTTTTTTCTTTTCTTTTTTTTTTTGTGTGGTTATGTTTGTGTGTTTATTATTTGAAGTTGTTGGATAAGGCAGAAGCAAGCATCATTTTCTTATAGCTATTATTGGTCAAAACGCCTACAAGGGGTGTGGTGGTTGCATTATATGACTTTAGTATCAATTTTATCACCGTATTGGTCTCTTGGGTTTTGGTTGGTAGCTAATGGGTTATCATCCTTCAGCGGGGGTCCACTTGCTAAGGACATGATTTCATCTTGGAAAATTGTCATATAATCTAAAGTATCTTATAACATTATTTACGTAGTGTTTTTTTATAAATAAAAATTATAATTTATAATAAGCGAATTATTTCTTGTCGGTTAATTATCAAACAAAATAAGTCAACAATTTTTCACTACACTAATAATTTGAACCACCAAATAAATAATCAGACATGATTTTTGAAGAATATCTAATAATTAACGTTCTTCTAGTGAAATTTTTGGTACTACCATTACTTCACACCGTTCGTTTGCCTTTTTACCTAGAATTTGCTAATGTAAATAAGACCATGGAGGAGTAATGAAGCCACGTGATCATGTACTCTATTAAAATTGTGATTTGATGTTATTCAAGCCGAAAATAAAAAAATTAAAATTAAATGTGATTTTTAAAAATAATTATAAATTTATTAAAAAATTTATGATTTTAATTATTAATATCAATAAAATTTATTATTAATGTGGGGATATATTTTCTGAGTACCAACACGTGACAAGGTGACGCCGGCGTGTCAGCCGAGGTGCCACGTGTCCTGGTCGTGACGCTGAAGTTATCTCGGTAAGGCCGAGGTTATCTCCGAAGATATCGTAATTCGAAATAAGAGGATAAGAGATAAAGTACAAGAGTCCTAGAATAAAGAGGAGATTTAGCCAAGATAAGGATAAAAAGTTTATCTTTATCTCTTGAAGAGTCCAAGGTAAGTACTGAACAGGAGTCCATAGAAGTCAGGCTTCTAGTGGGACTAGGATTAAGTAAATTATAAAAGAGAGACGCCCCGTGGGTCTAAGGTACGCAAATTTATGCTTTGAGCAGTAAGTTTAGCACTTGATTATCTTTGAGAGATATACTGACTTGAACGTTGGAGTGCCCTTGGGTGGAAGAGCCACCGCCGGAGCCTTTTTTTTCTGTTACAAGTTAACTGAAGCCATCTATTCTGCCGGTGCTCTCCAGCTGATTACTAAACGGGCAGTGTAGTAAAGAAAATTACTCACACAATTTGGCGCCGTCTGTGGGAAATTAGAAGAATAGATGGCCAGTAACGGACAGAAGGAAAAGATTGGGGACGACGCTCCTGCTGGGAGTGGCGGACCTATCGACCTTGATATTGAAAGAGACAATAACAATGCAGAAACTCGTGACCAGGGCCACAGAGAGAAAGACGTCAGCCAGGAGGGCGACACTTCGAAGAAGACAGACCAAAACAAGTACTACAACGAAGATAACCTCCAGGTATAGAGGGATAGGTGTCTGCGGAGGGATGAAGAAGTAAAAGAATTGGCAAACAAGTTGGCAGACCTGCAGTCGGTCGTCAACTTCATGATGCAAAACAATGTCATGCAGCCATCGTACCCGCTGCACGACACGCCGATTCTAGCAACTAATACCCAGAAGGGATGAAGGAAAACAATCCCCGAAGCCTCTCAGCACACCAGGAGCGGAAGGCACTCTCACCGACCTTCTAGAGAAATCGGACGAGAGGAGCCGAGACGAGAGGAGTCCCACAGGACGTATCACACGAAGGACCCAGAGCCCAAAGAACATCGGCATGTTCAAGGGCAAGCTCTCTGCTTTGACACAACCCATGGAGAAAGATCAAAACGAGCCCACCACGAGGCCGAAAGTAGTGTGCCGAAAAGATTGAAGTCAAAAGATAACCGAGCTCTAAGGAGGAGTAAAGAAGACTTGAGAGATTACCTCAGGGAAAGCAACAGAATGCTGAAGCCGAGGTAACTTTCCCGGTTAAGCCGAAGACACCATTCTCAGTGGAACTAGACAAATTTGAAGCGCCAAAGAGATTCAGTATGCCGAGGTTCCAAATATATGACAGTAAGTCAGATCCCAACTTTCATGTTGGACTATACCTGAATTCAATGGCATTATATAGTGGGAACGAGCTGTTGCTCTGCAAAGTATTCCCTTCATCCTTCGGGGAGATTGCATCAGATTGGTTCCATAAACTACCGAAGGGAAGCGTAAAGACTTGGGAAGGCCTGGTCGAGATGTTTGTGGCCAGGTTTGTGACGAACAAACTCCAGCCCTTGAGGGTCGACGCACTGATGGCTTTAAAAATCACCAAGGATGAAGGCCTTAGGGCCTATGCAAAAAGGTACTACGAGGAGTTCAATCGAATACTCGAATGCAACCAAGAGGTGGCAGTCGTGTCTTTCAAGAACGGCCTGAAAGATGACTGCCCACTACGAAAGTCTTTGGCAAAGACATTGCCAAAAAGCATGGAAGAACTCATGGCGAGAATCGAGAAGTACGCCAGAGCCGAGGAGGATACGTCGGGAAACAAAGAGACAAAGCAGGAAAAAAGAAACGGCTCGCCGAAGCGAAGCCGAGGTAACAGTGGATCGATCAAACAAGAAACGGAATTGAGGGCTAAACAGGCAGTGATGACTGTGTTTCGAATCCCGGTCCACAAAGTCCTAGATCAAATACGAAACCAACCCTATTTCAAAGCACCGACAAGAACACCAGGGGAATTTATGGGAAGAAACGTCGGTAGGCGTTGTGCTTACCACAATGAAGAAGGGCACCCAACTCAGGGTTGTAGAGCCCTAAAAGCACACTTAGAAGACTTGGTGAGGCAAGGCTATTTGAGGGACCTTGTTGATGAAGCCAGGACAAGGGAAGAACAGGCAAGATTGCCTCAACCACCAGCAGCTCCGCCTCTCCCAGCACAGCAACCACAGGCAGGAGGACCACGGGTGGTTAATGTAATTCACTCAAAAGTGAACGAAAACGACATACAAGGGGAGACCCAGAAGCTAAAACACCTACAGCACGTAAACCAGGTCGGACATAAAAGACCTTGGCCTGAAGAATGCCAGGGACCAACGATAGCCTTTACTGAAGCCGACCTAGAAATGGTCTAGCATCCACATAATGATGCCTTGGTAGTGTCCCTCCAGGTTGGGGAGTGCCAAATGAAACGCATCCTAATTGATCAAGGCATCTCTTGCGACATCATGTATGTTAGATGCTACAGAGAGTTGGGCCTTCATCCTGATGACTTGGAGCAATCCAATGGCCCGATGGTCGGCTTCAATGGAACACCGACGTAGCCACTGGGCGCAACAAGCTTGGAAGTACAAGCTGGCACTAAGAAGATCAAGACAGAATTCATGGTGATTGACACACCCTCCCCTTACAACATCATCTTGGGAAGGCCATGGTTGCATGCAATGGGGGCAGTTTCCTCAACATTGCATCAACTACTGTGATTCCCAATAGAACATGGGATAGAGGAAGTTAAAGGTGATCAGCTATAGGCGAAGAATTGCTCCATGGCAGCAATGAAATCTACCTGCAGCATGTGAGAGCCAGAGAAGGCAGAAATTGAAGATGAGAACATGAAAGTCCTAGAAGATGTCGGCAAAGAACCAGCCGAGAAGAGCGAAGAGGCACTAAAGAAAATCCTCGTCCAGGATGGGGATGAAGAGCGCTTCTTTCTTCTCGGCTCGGGCTTAGCCAAAGAAGAGAAAAAAGAGTTGGAAACTTTTTGAAGAACAAATATTGAGGTGTTCGCTTGGACACCTTACGAAATGCCTAGCATTGACCCCGAGGTCACTTACCATAAACTGAATGTTGGCAGGTTGGCCAAACCTGTAATTCAGCGAACTAAAAGACCGACGTTGATACACATCGAAGCAGTAGGAGAAGAAGTAGACAGACTTCTGGAGGCCAGGGCCATTAAAGAAGTACACTACCCAACATGGCTATCCAATACAGTGGTGGTAAAAAAGAAGAACGGTAAATGGAGGGTCTGCGTAGACTTTACCAGCCTCAACAAAGCCTGTCCCAAAGACAGTTTTTCCCTGCCCAAAATTGACCAGCTAATAGATGCCACTTCAGGGCATGGAAGAATGAGTTTTCTAGACGCCTACAGGGGGTACCACTAGATCGCCATGTACCCCCCAGACGAAGAAAAAACCGCATTCATCACCCTAAAAGGCCTGTACTGTTACAGAGTAATGTCTTTCGGGTTGAAAAGCGCAGGAGCAACTTACCAAAGGCTGGTAACCAAAATGTTCAAATACCTGATTGGCCGAACAGTAGAGGTCTACATCGATGACATGGTTGTAAAGACCAGGAACCTAAGGGTCATCTTGCCGACCCAAAAGAGGTCTTTGATATACTCAAAACATACCGGCTCCGACTCAACGCATCGAAGTGCGCGTTTGGAGTTGGATCAGGTAAGTTTCTGGGGTACCTAGTAACAAGAAAGGGCATTGAGGCGAGCCCAGATCAGATCAAGGCCATCCTAGAATTAAAGAGCCCGACGTCGGCAAAACAGGTGCATATGCTAATTGGAAGGGCCGCAACCCTAAACAGATTCATCAGCAAAAGCTCAGACAAATGTAAACCTTTCTTCAACCTGGTGAAAAAGGCTACGGACTTCCTATGGACTGAGGAATGTGAGGCCGCTTTGGTCGACCTAAAAAAGTATCTGACCACGGCTCCAGTCTCTCAACACCTGAACTTGGAGAGGAACTGTTTTTGTATTTGACAGTTTCAGAACACGCAGTAAGTGCAGTGCTAATCCGAGAGGAAAAGGGGGAGCAAAAGGCTGTTTATTATTTAAGCAAAACCTTGGCCGATGTAGAAACAAGGTACCTACCACCAGAGAAATTAATGCTGGCCTTAGTAATGGCTTCAAAGAAACTGAACCATTACTTTCAAGCGCACAAGATTATA